TGTTGGCCACCGGGTGTCCCTCGGCTACTGGGTGCAGGTGGTCCCTCGAGTTCCCGGCCTCAGCTGCTTTTCCGACGCTTCCTGCGAGAACAGACGCCACCACATACGGGGACGCAGGCCCCGCAGGCTGGGCTGACGGCCTTTCTCCCTCTCCGGGGTGACCTCCCTTCGTCAAGGGTGCAGTCGAGACTCGACCTAGGGGGCTCTGCCCTCAAGGGGCTTTCCCTGTACGGTGAGCCGGGGGTTCCTGAGCTCGGACGGCCCCTAGGGGTTCAGTACTGAGCGCAGGCTGCGCGGAGTGGCGGAAATCCCCTCCTACGCCGTAGGTACGTTGCGATTCCTCGTCCTTAGTTTCTTCTATCGGTGACGCGGCGAAAAAAGTGGTATATTGATCATACGGAGTCCCTACATACGTAGTATAAGTCCGACTAGAAGTACATGAATGCGTACCAGATGAAACTAAGTCCTTAGCCGACGCCGTCGAATCGCTTATTTCGACGCCGGCTCGTCTTTTGACGACTTCTCGTTCTTTGCCTTCTCCTCTTTGACTTCCTCGATCTTCGTGTCCTTTCCTAGGTCTTCCTTTTCGGCTTCAGCGAGTAGTTGGCGGAGGCGCGCGACGTTGGGCTTTTTTCAAGGTGGGAGTTTAACGGGGAGCCACTTAGACTTGTCGTCAGGGCATTTGTGTTTTGGACTCCACCCCGTGTTCCCACACTTGAAGCACCGCTTGTCGGACCGCAGTTTGTCGATTTCCATTGGCTGACCGGCCCCTCCATACGTAGTGCCTGTGGCGTCCTTCTTATCGCCCCCAGAACTACTTCCCTTTGATTGATTGCCTCGACCCGAGCCGCCTTGGCTCGGGGAGGTCTTACTGGCGAGGCCTTGGGCCACGTCGTACCGATAATTGGCGTCGATCCTAAGGACTCGCGCCTTCCATTGTGCGTAGGTTGTGGGGCGCTCGTTGTCCCCATGCATAACCGTCTTCCGCACCGTTGGCCTAATCGCCGCTTCGACCGCTTCGAACATCTGCTTCTCGTCGCCAAACTCTCCGCATTTGTGGGCCAACCGCTCGAATTTGGCAAAGAACTCGACTGCGGATTTGAACTCCGACTGTCGCACCTTCTTCCATTCGGCCTTCCATATCGCGACTTCTGCCACTTCTCAGAATTCCTGCGTGAGGTCACGGGAGAATTCCGCCCAAGTGGGGAATCTCCAATGCCCCTCGTCGTCCCGGTAGCGGTAGTACTGATCACCCCACCACTGTTTCGCCTTTTCCCGTAGGTACCCTTGCGCGAACGTGATGCGGTAGGGGTTCTGTCCTTGATTGTTCATGGTGAAATGTAACGGGAAGACCTGGAAGTACATTTCACAGTGGTGGAGGAATCGATTGATATCCTCGGATTCCCCCGTGAAATATTCAGGCTGAGTAATCAGCTTGGGTTTGACGTCACTCCAGGGGTTATTGTCTCTGCCTGCCGCCAAGGTCCATGGTGGTATAGGATCCGGGGGTGACGGCATGTGGGGCGGTACGGGAGGGTTCGGTGGTCGCGGAAGCGATCGTAGACGATAATTGTCCCCAGGCGGGGGATAATCGCCTGGATACCCGGGCTTTCACGGCGGTTGCGACGGTGGTTGAGGCGGGACGGTGGATTGCTTCCCCTTGTCCGAGGGCCCGGCTCCTGGGCCATCCATGTCTTCGTCGTCGGGCCCTGCACCTGCCCAAAACTCTTCGGTTTCGAGCGGGTTGGGCATAGGCTGCGGTCGTTTGTATGGCTCGCATCCACGTTGAGGCACTTCGGGGTTCATCATGTTCCACACGATGGCCGCGCGGTGCCATGTTTCCACTTCGAGGATATTCTTCATGAGGTATACGTCCCCCATGTTCTTTGCTGCTTGATAATCGACCCCCGCGTTGGTAAACAACCACTGGGGGTCCTTTTCCATGTGCTCCATAATGATTTCGTACAATCCGTGCCAGGGAAGAATATTAAAGATATCAGGTCGAGGGGTCGGTCCCCGGAGCATGACCTGAGTTATCGCCGCCATTACCGTCGGTTCGAGGGCCTGGTTGGGCGGACGACTCGGCATCCTTGGCCTCCTGCCTCTCCCTTGCGATCCTGTCGAGCTCTCGATTCCTTCTCCACCGCCCGATGTCTGAGTCGGGGTCGGAGATCTCGCTCTGATAGGCGCTCCAGGCTCGGGCTCTCGCCTCAAGGTCGGTCCCGGCTCGCCTGGCCCTTCCGGTGTAGCGAACGGCAGCGGCTCGTATCCGGTTATCGACCTCGATGGGAGTGGCGTCGGGCTCGAGAGGGAGATCCCACCAGCCTCCCGGTCCTTGGAGGGCATCTTCCTCGGCACGTCGGATGCGTGCGTCATGCGCTCTTCCTCGGTCCATTCTGGCCTGGACTTCTGGGGACTCCCGGGCAACTCTATCGAGTCTGAGGGACTCGACGTACGTGTGATAGAGGAGCGGCCACGGCCGCTGAGAAAGAGGGACGGGGTCGGCGAAGGCTCTCGATGAGACCGACGGCTCCCAATTGGAGACTCCGGCGAGTCGCTCGGCGGCGGTAATCGTTCCAAGTTCTTCGGGGTCGAGATCTGGGAACTCGCTCCAAAGCTCCCCACTCGTCGGCTCGATCGAGGGGAGGGAGGTTGGGAGCGTTGGGCCCTCGGCCCCTTCAGAGACCTGGTCAGACTCTGATCCGGACGCGACTCCGGCCACAGTAGTTTCTTCCCCGTCGTCTGCATAGACCCAGCTGGTGTCGGGGTACCAGGCGACTGGAGGGCCTCGATTGGCTGGCCAGGCCCTTGGAACAGGCTGTGGGTGAGTTGGACGGGTGGTAGCCGCGGAGGCTCCGAGGCCAAGCTCTCCGGGATCTTCGTAGAAGTCGTCTTGACGCCCTCGATTATGCGCAATTCTTGCGCGATCCCTTGCGTCATCCGCTGCAATTCTTCTATCGCGGACCTCCTTCCAAGTGCCTTGGTGTCCCCACCCTGAGTGGGACTTTCCGCTCGAAGGGCCTCCGGTATCGGGGGCATCTTCCTCCTCGCTCGGGTAGAGGTCGTTGAGGAGGTCGTCGAGTCGGGTTCTTTCCCACTCGGTGAGCTCGTCCCCTTCGAACTCAGTATCAGGGCTTTCTTCGCCCTCGACCAGATGCCTGGTGTCTTGTCCTCAGCCTCTGTCGTCGCCAGACTCGCCTTGGACTGGAGACTGGTCGAAGAGACCTGGTAAGGGCGAGTCTCCTCGGTCGAGGAGTACCCCCCTGGTATCGGTGATGTCAATTGACTCAACTGCTGCGCTGGAAGCGCTTCTGGAGGAGTCAGTGCTCGACTCTGAGGATCGCGAGCTGGGTCGCGACAATGTGTAGAGGGATCCTCCAGATCCCCCAGAGTTGTTGGATTCGACATCGCCTATCGTCTGTTGGGATGCCACGGGGATGTCGATTATCGGCGGTGGATACGCCGGGGTGGTCGGAATATAATGAAAAGGGAGTTGCGCGTGGACTCGTCTCCGCTGGCAGCAGCGGCGAAGTTGGTACAAAGTAATGGACAAGGAAAAGAGTATAAAAGTCGTGAAGACGGCGAGAATGGATTCTGACCAGGGCATTCGTCAGGGGATCTATCCGTGGCGTAAGTCGACGAGAGACCATGCAAGCTGATAAACAGCTAGGATGGTGAGAACGATGAGGAGCGCGATGATTAGGCTGAGGTCGGTCTCGTAGTTGGAGCTGTTCATCAACACAATCTCGCAAGTTTCGTCGGATGGAGAGCTCGTTACTATTAACAATGTGATTGTTAATAGAGATGCGAGCTGGAGGGCGAGAACGAAGGGTTTAATGTTTTTAGAAATGGCGTAGAAATCCGACCCAGAGGAGCAGGAGGAGTCCTGCAAACACCAGGGATGGGACGTATACGCAGGCGAGGAACACTCAGAGGATGGTTACAACAACCAATCCAAGCGGGTCGTTCAAGAGGAATTGTAGCACAGAGAGTGCCACAACAATGAAGAGGATGATAGGGAAAATGCTGGGCAACGGTATGTTGTTGGGCAGCAGAAGACGAGCTTCGGCTAAATGTTAGCCACTAACTCAAATCGACTTAGATCGTACTAAGGTCACTACTCGCACTTCGGTAGACGACGCTTTAGCAAGTCAAAGGCGACGGGAGTCGATGGGACAGATAGTCACGAAGAACGGAGTTCGAAGTTAGGTAGAATAAACCTTAGCCGAAGCTGGGGTTCAGTCCAGCTGAGGCTCTACTTAAATACACGTGAGTATTCTAAAAATACTACTGCGCAGTCAGTCCGTGATGATCGCGTGCCGCGTAATCTGGCTGACTAAAGAAAGGAAAAGAAAAGAAAAAGAAAAAGAAAAAGAAAAGAATAACCGTAACACAAGGTCGAATAGTCATTAGACGAACGCTAGACAAACAATACATTTGGTATGTCACCCGTCCTATACCACCACTCTGAGAGAAAGGAAACTCACGATGTGATAGCTGCGAACATTATTCGCGCACTTCGCGCAAGCACTTCGTCCTGTATCCCGATCGAGGAGGAGGATACAATTTCGAGTATTTGTGCGCATTGGTTTTGAACGACGAGCCGACAATCAATACAATTGAATTGGAAGCTTATAAGAATGGCTATGGGCTGTTAGCTCCTTGCACTACAGTCCGCAATTTTAGTTCCCAAAAGGTGAATTGCGGTAAGTGAATTCTATTTTCCCTTGCACCACGCATAAATCTCACATATAATAGAGAATGGGCACAGAAAATCGGGTAAAGAGACTATGCTCATGACGGAAATGATACATCAACCATGCTCGGCCAGATTCACCATCATTCGACCGGAGGATGGTTACTGGGAGGCATGCCCCAAGATACTTATTCTTTGCCACAGTCCTCATATACATCCTATTCCACTTCCAACGACGACGCCAGTTCATATTAAATCCGAAATCAAACTATTGATACGTAGCCTCAAACACGAGCTGGCGGATATGACCCCTCGACGGTTTTGCCGACACCCTGCAGTCGTCAATCGTGTGAAACAACTCTGTCCGGATGAAGAGGAGCCGACGCTCACTCATGTCCACCCATCCTTGGCCAACTTGGACCACATAGCGTCGTACATTCACACAGAAATCAAGGTCTGTCTCCCCAATGGGACCGGATGGGATGGTAGGATCCCCAAGCTCATTAATATCGGTTACTTTACTGAAGTGGGTTCGACAGGTGTTCAGCACATGAAATCCAAACAAGACGAGGAAGGGAGCACGCCCTATATTCGTGAGATGAAGGAAATATCTTGGCAAAGACTCAAATATGGCGGGGACCACATCGATGACAGTGAAGACGAGGATGGCTCTCTTGAAGGGTTAGACGACGACTGTTTCAAGCTGATCGTGTGCATGCTGCCGCAACGCAGTGAAGACTTTCTGAAGGCAAAGTACATCCAAAGCGACATTTCTTTCAAGTGCATTCCGGGCTGGAAGGAATTTGAATTGGTCAGTGTGGACCATGAGACGAGCCAAGGTTAGTCAGTCTCCGATCTTTCTGTGACTCAGACTAATCATTCCAATCGTCAGTGGTGGTCCTCTGCAGAGCTTTCATGAACTCACAGTCCGCACGCGCTCATCAAGTGTTGTTCGTGACTATCAGGTCAGTAGTGCACCAAGACATGCAAAGGGACGTCGAATATCGACACCTGCATTCGCCTTCCCTCGACGATCATCGAGGAATATTGCACTGGGCCGCTGACCAAGATTGAGGACAGGCCAAAGGTGCGACAGAGCTTCCTACTAGTTTAACCCGAAGTTCATATTATAATGCCAGGCTTGGGCTTCCATCTTCAAGACGTCGCTCGAGAGTTAGCACACGACTGCAAGGACTTACACGAAACGAGCCGCTCTGTTTCCAGCTTAGGACCTTACGAACACATTCACAGATTGTATCGTGTATGTACAGCACATATCACTCGTGGGATCACGAGTTCGGGTGTACAAGACTATGCAGTTAAAGACAAAATGCACAGTCTGGTGTGTATTCGACATCCGAATTGGGATGAAACCCTGGCCTACATAGAAAGAGAGGGTGGGGTATCTGGTCGTAGTAAGTGGAAGTCCTCGAGATATCATCAGGCGACGTCCTAACCATTGTTTTCACGTATAGATTGGCTTTTTAATAAAATACACTCCAAATTTGCTATGCAAGGGATGTGCTGGGAAAGGAGCTTCGTTCCATTGAACATTTGGCAAGCAGGCGACGCTACGACAAACGCAGTCGAAATGTCGCATATAGATATCTATCGGGAGGGCATGCCGTGCTCCCTCATTGGCGGTATCTCTCGTGCTCGATACTACGATAAGATGCGCCTTCAGACCCATCGCGTACGCATACCTTTTCGCACTGCATGTGCCTGCTCATTGCTGACTTTTCTTTTTACAGGTCTCACAAAAGACTGGAGTGAAGGCTGCCTACAGACCTACCACGACCGTCGTTTCAGTCGTCCGAAAATATAAGCGCACTGGTAGGACCTCATCCCCTCTCCTGCAGGTGTGCATGAACTTATCTGTCGATGTAGTTATACAGCGGACACGCAAGTTCAATGTGGCTGACAAGCATATCATTGAGCAGAATGAGCGGCTGCGTAAGTCCTGGGAAAGGTATCAAAACACGGTCCGTAAGTTAGCAGCGAAACCAACTGACCTCAAAGCTATCGAGTCCCATGAAAAACAGAAGCAGGCCTATGAGAAACAGAAACAAAAGAGCCTCGACATGAAAAAGAGGTGGCATGGTCAGAGCTCAGGGCGAGTACATATAGTCTTGCAAGGGTAATTCAAAAGTCTTCATGTGTCTGAATTCTTGAATGTAAGTCGCATTTAGGAGCGAATAAAAATTTGAACATACTTTGAACGTAGTTGTACCCCGCTCGTAACACGCGTCAATGGAACTAATAGACACGTCCATAGTGTTTCTGAGTTTCTTGGTTTGTTTTTTATGACTCTTGGGCGACCATACCTTACTAAATGCACTCAGTCAATATCCTAAAAGTAATTTCATTGTCTATACAAACGTATATTTAACAAGACACAAGTTCCCCACGCACGCGTAGTAGCAGTACAGAAACAAGAAGGGAAAGCTTACATAAGCGCTTGGATGTGTTTGATAGTGTCATGTTTGAAGACCCGCCGGGGACATCCGCGGGCGCTTGCTGGGCGTCTAGACATCGGACTTTTCCGGGCACCTACTGGGCGTTTAAAACTCGGACGTCCCCGGCGGACCTTCAAACATGGCACTATCAAACACATCCAAGCGCTTATGTAAGCTTTCCCTTCTTGTTTCCATACTGCTACTACGCATGCATCGGGAAGTAAGAACTTCGGTAAGCGACCATTTTTTTTCGTAGTTAGTAGTATATATCTATGAAATAAATTATGTTTCAAACATCTTGAATGATTGTGCGCGAACCGGAATAATCTAACACGAAACTACAGTGGCGACGCATGCAGATGATAGTCGACGCCACTGTCAATTCTTATACCAATGGTATGTTATTTATTTTTTTCAAACTGTGAGTACATGGTGTTCTAACAGTTACAGTAGTCCATCTTTGTAGACCTCGAGGCCGGTGTAGAGGCTGTCCAAGACGTCGAATCCTCGTCTGAGAGCGAAGACAGCTTCATTGTCGAGGAAGAATACTCAGACGACGCTGCCGAGTCGGAGGCCGCCAACTTGTCTCCTGTTCCTTCCACACATGTACCAAAGGAAGATCAGGCATGGAACGGCTTGCTGGTGAGAGCAAAGGTGCATGCCAGGGTGAGGGAAACCACGCTGGTCGATGAGGAAAGCTACGATTTCCGATTGTTCGATGACGCTCCCGAACTTTGGGTTCTATCATGCATGGTGAGTCCTCAATTTGTCTCTATTCCTTCCATCCTGATGTTTTGAAGCCTGGTTGGGAAGACATCGTCGTCTTTCACATTGGCCGAAATGCGCGATCGGAGCACGGTATCAAAGCTGCCTTTATCATGCCTCACCTCGGCAAACAAGTCTGGCTTGAGGCGGAAATGTCGTCGGCACTCAAGGCCTGGCTTGTTGATATCCCAGGCATGGCACGGCGAAACCAGCAAGTCCAACTCCACACGGTTTCCCCAGACATGAGCCTGCGTGCCCTATGGTCGGCCTCATCGTCGCCTCCCATGGTGAATGGAGCATGGGTCAAAGTTCATCATGGCCGGTTCAAAGGCGAGGTGGGGATGGTGGCTAAGGTGTATCCTTGGGGTTGCAAGGTCTTGTTGGTACCCAAACTAGATCCCAGCCCTCGGGAAGAATCGAAGAACAAACGACGACGGCTTCAAAATTCAGACTTGGCCCCAAAACTCTTCGACCATGCAACTTTCAACGCATCAATAATTGGAGAGTCGCGTTATCGCTTTCAGGGCTTGGTGTACGAGCATGACCTTCTCGCTCGCCGCCTCTCCTTCTCCCAGATTGCGATTGCCAGCGAGATCAGCAACCAAATATTCACACTTTTTGGTCTATCGCGACATCCTCAACTCCGTAGGCACTTACAAGGGCATCCAAGAATCTCTGAATGGTGCTTTCAGGTTGGAGAAAAGGTGACTCAAGTAGGGATGGGTCGAGCTGGAATCATCCATACTGTCGGCAAAGACGGCTTGGAGGTTCAATTCGCAGAAGGAGTATTCCCAGTCCGATGGGCTGACATTCGCAAAGAGTTCGAAGTGGGACAGTACGTCCAGATCACAGAGGGTGCACCTGCAGAAAGATGGTGTGGATGGATACACGCATTCGAGGGGAGCCTTTTACAGTTGATTTCCGGCTCCAACAGTCGTGAAATTCAGGTACTTCGTATATTGTGGAGTTGTCTATTCGAAACTGACAGCAATTGTAGAGCGTACACCCAAACACTGTCATCGCCGACAGTCCGCCCCACAGTGGAATGAGCTCCACTTCATCGACCCAATCCTCGATTCCCGCATCGACGCCTGTCATACCATGGAAAGGGACGAGAGTTTTGGTGATTGCACAAGGCCATCCCTGGCGTACGAAGACCGCAGACGTAATGGACGTCAACATCATGACAGATCCGCGTTATCCTGAACCAATCTTACAGATATTGGTTCAGCTTGCTCACTACGATGCCAATGCTCCTTTCCTGTCTCGCTGGTTCCCCTACCTCGATATAATCGAAGCCGACTCATGGCTGCCTCTCAATGAGGCACAACCATTATCAGACGCCCATAGTTTCTTTCGTACCTGGGTGCCTCATACCAACATCTTGCAGGAGAAGGGGAGGCGTATTCCTCCGGAACCCATCGTGGTGGAAGAGCCCGGCAATGCTACTCCCAGGCCTGATCCCACCGAACGATGTTTCTCTCCAGCCTGGGATCCATCTTCCCCCGATCCCATCCACTGGTGCCTTGATCCACAGCTCATTGGTATGAGGTTCCGTGTACAATACAACGGGCGCCAAATTGCCGCCTCGGTGAGATGTGAAAAAGATGGAAAGATGAATTGCATCAGGGTCGATACACCGTTGAAAGAAGTTCTCGACCCCACCAGAGTACTTCCGATTCATCCAAAGGCACGACATTATGACATGTTTCTGGTAATCTCAGGCGAGCATCGTGGAAAATGGGTTAGGAGCATCCAATTCACGAAGCGCTCGCCCAGTGATAGCACGGATCTGGATTGGAATGTGGCTGTGGTGATACCGCGAGCTCCCTTCCTTGAGGACGAAGTAACGGATGACAGGATTGTTTTGCATAGCTCCATGATGACCCTTGCAGCAGAGACAGACGATTCCAAGCGATTGAATTTGAATGTGAAAAAGTGGCTACGACAGCCTGCGTGGGACTATTGATGTATCTATACTATCTTGTGTAATATCTGTTTTTACATTGCATCATGTGTAGTAATACCAGTATAATACCACTGTATTTATCATTCGCAATCAGATACACTTTTATTCGGAACATCTATGGGCAACAGTGAGGAAATCCATCACGATAATATCTACCACAGCCCGAGCACCTCACTATAAGCATAGAAAGCTCCTCCCCTGTTACCCCACGATGATCCAAAGATAAGCAATTCCAGAGAACGACTTTCTGCCCTACCGGAGCGGTCTGTCGGATAAGAGATGGTGCGCCTGGCCCGTCCTTGTCAATCCCAACTGGATGAGTAGGAGGGAACTGATATCACTCACCGGTACTCATGACTGCGGCCGTCTGCACGCCCACCTCTTGGCGCGCGGGACCTTGAGTAGCGGGAGCCATCGTGAAGGCTTTGACTTGAACCTCCTTCTCTGGGGCTGGAGGTGCTGGCGCCGGCACTGGCACAGCCTTGACGATCCTACCTGGTACGTCTTTCTGTTGTCCTGCAGAAACTGGCTCCTTATCTTCATTATCCCATTGGCTGCGCAGCTTTTTGTAAATGCGATTGACAGGCTCTCGTCTCGCCGCGCTTTTTTTCTCCACGGCTGCCAAATCAACGACTATATAAAATATGAGCACCGAAACAGCCAAGCTAGAGCGTCAAACGAACCTGGTACTTTGGTCGTTTGCGAAGTTACGTCACGGACATCGTCGGTTTGTCCGCTATTCTCCTCGGGCTCCTCTTCTGAATCGGGGACTCTGCTGGAATACCGGCGGTTTGGGTCGTCCGACGTGTATTCCAGACCTTCGTCAATGTCGGAAAGGTTGCACGCGATCTGGTTCCAAGCTTTCCCATGGTGTTCCTCCCAGCGCTGTTCGTACTCTGAAAGGCGGTTCTAGTATCGCTGGGGACAACTTACTCCAGTAGTCCATGTTCTCGATGTCTTGACTGCCAACTGTACCCTACGTCAAAAGCATTCAACGCCGATGGGCTAGTTACTTACCGGCATAGTTTTGGAGGGCTGTTTGAGGAAGACCCGGACCAAATACCTTGGAGAGATCGACTACGGCCCTTCGTGAGAACCAGAGCAACACCAGGATGCGCTGACATACCTTCATATCCACAATAATCAGAGGCGCAGAGAAAGCGCCATTTTCCATCATCGCCCTGGCGTAGAATCGTCTGAACAAGCGCGGAGGAAGGATCTTTCAATGGACAAAGGCAGTTGGGCGGAGTGACATCCCACTCCAGCATATACTGCCTGAGATTTTCCACACTGACGGGGACGAGCACTCCGTTCTCCTGTCTCCAGGCAGGACTGTTCGGTACATGTTAGAACGACACCTTGAAAGGAATATAGGTACTTACTAGGTCCAGACGTTCATCATAACACCCGTAATGGTGACTAAATGTCGGATGGCTCTGTTCTTGACGAAATCGAGAGACCTCTGGGTATCGTAAAGACATTTCTCGAGAGCAAGAGCGGTGTCTGGGGATGGAGGAGGTGTAAAACGGTCGCTTGACTTCGAAACAGACCTCGTAGGAGGCATCGTCAGAGGAGACTGTTGCTTGACGGGATAGGGACGAGATATAAGTCGAGGTTGAGGCGGGGAAGGTAGGCTTCTGGTACGAAGGTCGCGGCCCATGTCTCTTACCAGAATCTCTCTCTATTTACTAAAAAATAGAATTCCTTCATTTCCCGAGGAAATAACACCCCAGACGTGCCTAATAGCTAAAATTGCTTCGCATTTAGGTTTAGAATACTGGATCTCAAACACAGCCCGGTAAATAACTTCAACACCTTGCAGTAGTATTAGAGTTATACTCTCTAGACCAATGGACCGAATAGGATCTGTGTCCTGAATGAAGAGGGAGAAACCAAACTTAATCTTAATATTGAGAATACAGTATTCGCTACCTGCAATTGGACCGAATTGCCCGACTGCTGTTGAGACGAAGCTAATACTCACAATATAAAGTTAGGTTTTCATGCTGTGTTTCTATGGTAGGCTGGTAGGCCCTTGGATATCGGTTACTCAAATTCATTCCTCGCATCGTGTTCGGCACTGATGAGGAACCAACTGATAAACACGGTTGTCGATGTTCGTTCGAGATTCGAGAATGTTTTCTGATAACGGAATGGAAATCTTTTATTACAGCGGCGTATCAGTTGCCATTGGCAGGTCCTACAATCTGCACAAAGACGCATTGAATCCCCCAATAGTCTTGGATCATGTCTTCGAGGTGTTCTAGCTTTGTGTACACCATCGCGTTTGTCCATCCGTCAGGAGGTGTGCCCGCATCAAGCCATCGATGTTTAAGACCCATAATATACAAAGAAAATAGCTCCTGAACAAAACTGCCGTGAGCAGAGGTTGATTGGGATTTAATAAATACGCACAATTTTCCGTTGTTTCTTATCCAGGTTGGCGCGAGTTGGGTTAATGGCCTCAGATTCGGTAGGCCATCTGTTGAACCACCTAGAGTAAACACGCTCCAAATACAGCAGAATGCGGTTGCTCTGGATGGCTTTCTCGAAGGTAGGGCCTTGATCAGCCAACCAAACTTGCTGCTCGGGGCTGTAATCATACTGAACCGCATAATGGTACGGTCCAATAACTGGCAGCATGTCCAGGAGAGGTCTGTCAAAGACGAAGTGAGTGAGGAAGACCAGTAAGAGGGGAACTCATACTCATCGAGGGGATTTGATGACATGACCGACCGAGTCCAGGTGAGGTGGAACAATCTTAAGTATCTCTAGCCACGGATCAGCCAGTCAAAAATAGATGATGCGATCCCGATAGCACGTACGGTGATGGCAGAAAACAACGGGTTATTGGTTTCATGGAACATCGCAGTATCTCTATTCGTATGTTGTTGTCATTGTTCTGTCCTAATTAATCGTTCTAAAAAATGTACACCGTTCAAAGGGGATTTATTTTGCCGGAACAAGTGCTACTATGTTGCATGTATCTACTCGGAGTCCAATATTTCGATGGTTTCTATAGCTAAGGGAGTGCTCGTAAAGATATCAGGAACGTAAGTCGCTCTCTCCTTGCCTTTGCCCTTCTCCTTTTTGACAGATCCCCCCTTCGCAGTCTTGCGATGCGGAATCGGTTTCAGCGCTGCAAAACAAACATGCTCACTGTGGACAAGTTTACTGAAGACTTTGCCACACTCGAGGCAGAGAGCAGTGATTTGCTTGTACTCCGAGAGGGTGATACCTTCTCCCGACGTATAGCGACCTTGAAGAGTTTGAAGAGTTTCAGTTGGGAGTGCCGCGGCGCCCTGGAAGAACTCTTCCATGGTCGACGTGCCACGTAAGGATACTGTGATGTATTTATGAGTTAAGGAATTAAAAAAGAGAGAAATACGATGTACTTTTGCAGAGAAAGGACTCTTTGAACATGACGTCCTGAGCTATTGCAATAGGTGGTCAGTCTATGATAAAGCTAGGAAGATAACGAAACTCACCAACAGCTTTTTTTGAGGACAGAACTCCCCAGTGAGGGGGGGAGAAATCCTCGATGTCACTCTGTGTCGAAGGCTGCGCCTGCGAGCGACTTTTTTTGGGCGATCCATCTGGTTAATGGCGATGAGATGAATTATAATTGTGATAACGAAGGTCGTACCATTGGATTCAAACTCATGCTTACGCTTAGAGGTACCCGAAGACCATAGAACCTCATCTAGCGCGTGCAGCAAGCTTGAGCTGGATGATGACAGGACGGGAGAGGGGGTGAACCGAGGGGAGGACCTGTTTTCATTGGAAGTGAGAGTAGGAGTGACGGTGATTGGCTCTGAACAGGGAATAGTGTCAGTACTAAGTCAGACAAAGAAAAGGAATAAACGTATGCGTTGCCACGGTCGCGGGGTTGAACGCAGCAAGGGTATTTCCGAGAGCACCATTGTTGGTAAGCTCCTCAATAGGAACTGCCAAACACGTAGCCTCAGTGTTTTTACATTTGGAACAAATGAAAACACAAACTTACCAAAGAATTTGCATCCAAAGATGCCTAGGCCAGGCTGCGCAGTGCTGCAGCGTAGAGCGAGTTTACCAGGGTTTCCGAGGTCGGCGTTCGCGGCAGGGCTCATGGTAAAAAGGACGGTCTCATGATACTCGCCGGCAAAAGCCTGCGGGCACCAGCAAGAGGGGAAAACGAAGGTCGAGGACGCCTAATCTCGTAAAAGTAAGCTATTATGCATTTTTTTGATGAATTAAAGAGGACTTACACGCAACGCAGCCAACTGATTCGCGTGAACAGGCCGCCAGACACTGTTTGCGTCCTGATATCCTGGGCTGCAATTAACAAAACATGTGAGTACGATACAAAAGAAACAGAAAACAAAAACTTACTAGACAAAGAATATAAGACTTTGAGACGCCGGGTCAAAGGAGAGGACGGTATTATTGTAACGAAAGTGGTACTGCTGGATGTTGCGCGCTCGCGTAAAGAGTGCCTCGTGGTTGTTCCCCCCGGACAGCGAGAGTTGGTGAGGAATTCTGAGTGTCGAAAGCACTGAGTTTGGGGTAAGCGCCGAGTTTGGGGTGCGTGGGCTCATGGTAAAAGAGAAGATCAAAGAGTGGGGGGGGGGGGAATCGGGGAGTTAGCTATTGGCAGTGTTTTATAGTCGGCAAGGGGCGGGATAAAGGGTATTTAGCGGCGTCATGGCACTTCATGGATGCTAAAAACTGAAGGAATAAACGATAAAGAAAGTAAAATTTACACCTGCGCGATGGGAGCGGGCGATGTAGAAAAAAAAAACCTAGCGACGGACAAAGAACTTCCAGGAAGCGGCATTCGGACTTTTCGGGTGGAAGGCTTCACGCGGATGAGCGGGATCGATCGTGTTCTTGCAAAGTTTATTGGTCAGATAGCAACGCGCCAAGCGGGCTCAGGCGGGATGGGCGCAAAACCGTGACAGTTAATATTTACTAGTATTTACTTACGGCGCCAAGGATGCCGACACGGCATCTCGGGCCTTGCTTCGGTACCGTATAGTGATGTCACAGTACCTACACGTCTTCGTTACGTAACAGGTACTCACTAGTAATGTACTGTGTACCGACTAAGCTCATCTTGCAAGGAAGTCCCTACAGCCGAACAACCGCCCACAGGTTGACGTTTGGAGGGGTTCTCGTAGTCGATATACAGTCCACATCGGAACATCCAGGCTGGGAAGAGGGAGGAAGGAATGGTTATACCGATCAGCTGTGTCATGTCCGAAATACGAAAAATTATGCTCCACCAATACTACCAGAACTACTCACTTCCAACTCGGAACAATAACTCAAGACTATCTATAGAATGATGTATAAGCTATATTTTTAAATGAATTTCAAGCTATGAGGTCAAGAATATATGCAAAAGCACGCAAAAAAAAAGATTCAAAGATGTAGCAGAACAAGTTGTATCAACCGAGGTTCGAACTCGAGCACCACCGTAGTGTACAGTGTGTAAATTACACGCTAACCGCTACAGCATAAAAGCAACAGCAAGATGTCCAAACGGTTCATCAAATTCGAGAAAATAGATCGCCGGCAGAGAAACAGCTGCCCCGTTTTTGATGGCTGGAAGGCAGCTCTATCGTCGATAGATACACCACATTGAAGCATCTGGGTTATATGGTCATCAGGGCGAAAAATGAGGAAAGGTCCATGTAAAGGGAAAACACGTCCACGCACTTATCCCTGGGTGGGAGCTGTGAGTTGTACTCTCACTAAATGCCCACTTTGAACGCGTACGCTTCCGTGAATGGCTTCGTACTGGCTTCTGCGGGGAATAAGTAGCGGCCGCACCCACAGTGATCAGGCCATTTCGCAAGCTAATCTCACTGCGAAGGATGAACGTCATTTGACGTTAGTATCTGCCAGGACCGATACTGGCGGTGGTCGCAGAAGAGCGAGCTTCATACTGACAGTCAAACGACCATGATTGATGATACGAATCTTGCGGTGCTTCCGACACTTCTGGGAAATTGTGCAATCACGAACTAGCTTCATGGCTGGTATTCTCACGGCAAGCCCGGTCTTATGTGCATGGGAAAAGTCAATACAAGGTATGATTTCTAGTAGACCAAGAACACTACTGGATGGCATCTATCAGAGGCACAACCAGAGGCAAAGATGCTCACTTTTCCTACATATATGCATTTGATATATCAACGAATAAACTGCACCAACAGAAAAGACTAGTCGTTCCTTCGGTACCACTTGCGAGCACATCGTTAACGAAAACCAAAAGAATAACGAGTCACCCCAACCTCACACCGTATCCGGCAACTCAGCCAGACATTTCCTCACCCTCTCGAGCACCTCCAGCCTATCATACACAAACCTCCCACATCCCAGACATTTTTCCGACAGACAAGCCTCCATCTCCGGCCACTCCTCTATCTCCAACGAACAGAGCCTATCTCCCGACGGCCTCGCGTCCATATCCCAAAACATCTTCCACACCAGCGCCGCCCACGCTGACCCGTCAACCGATCTATCGCAACCCTCACACCTCGCGTCCCATTCCATACCCTTCCGGAACTCATCTCGCCGCTGCCGGTGAAACTTGAATAGCTTCACCAGCGAACGCGTCGGAATCCGCTGCAGTGCCTCCTGGTGCTGCTCCTCATTCAGAGATAAACTCAGCGTATGCTTCGACGCAAGCGCGACCTCCTCCTCCCACCCGAACCTCGTCGCTATTGCATACACCCGAAGTGGTTCTCGCAGGAATACCGGGGCAGTTATCGATGCACGCACGATATCCAGTGCACCTCTCGCTCCCCACGTCTCCGCTAGACTAAGCACGCCTTCAAGTTCGTCAAATGTGCGCCAAGGTGGGATTGCCAAACCGCTGATAATCCGTAGCAGTCGTTCAAGAATGACATCGTGTTCGTGGATGGGTATAGATTCGCCATCTGGTCCGAATGTGAAAGAGCTTGAAGCGAAGAACGTGGTGGTTCGTCGTAAGACTGAGGATGGGAGGCGGTATAGGGTACCGTCGAGCGAAGATAAGACAGCATCGGCGCCTGGGTTACTGAAGTTAGGATGATAGGCTGATCTGTGGTCCATCGTGGAGGCGATGAAAGAAGGACGGCCTGAGGTGACTCTACAGAGTGAGCATGTGTTGATCGTCTCGTTGCCGCATGGCCGTTCCGGTAATCCGAATCGCATCAATGTGAACACATGCCGTAGGGAAGTGAATGATGACAGGGATCATCTAGAACAGCAGTACTGTAAGAACTGACAGCATGAACGGACGAAATACCACACACCGAGGCGTGAACATGACGTTTGAACCTTCAGTAGAGCTCGGGGGCATCACATCTGAGGTCGACGATTGGCCCTTGCTTGCACACAACGTCCATGAACTATCTTGATTTCGGGTCATCTTCGTCAACCATCATTATTCCTTCGTCACGTCGTCAGCCGAGTATACCGCTGAACTTGCAACGGTCATGCTCACGGTCAGAGTTTCATCTCGGACAAGCGATTTCTGGGGAGGCAGCTCTTCAGAGAGTTGGATGATAATAAATGAATATTGAGCTTGAGGAGCGCGCGCTGTACTATGAGATGCGTCAGGAAAGGAAAAATATGGCAAGGCACGACATGCATACCTTTTCGCCATTACACGCAAGCGACGGCAATCGCGATTCCAGATTCAGATGTCCAACCACCTCTTGGATTTATGCGCGAGAGAAATGGTATGTATCGCAAAGCGTCGCCGTATCGAGAGTTCTTGATAGCCGTGATGAGCAACAAAGATGTCGACGAACGCTCGACTGGACTCTTACCTTGCGAAAACTGCGTCGATAACGCCAACAAGACGAAGATAACTTCAAAAATTTTGCCTAAAATAGAATTATTGAGGAAATTATCATCGAAAGACACTAGACAAAAGTCGCCTACCTTTCCAGTTTGCTCGCCATGAGTTCATTCTCGCAACGTTCTTGACTGTTTTCTTCGCGTCGTTCCATTCCGAAGATCATCCTCTTGTCGTGAATAAGATAAATTCGATTCATAAAAGCACACATGGTCGGGATCCTGCATGTGGGAAGAGGAGAGAAGAATGGGACGATGGTGGTGGTCACAAACAAAGAAATCGTGGGAAAGTTATGACCGCGTCATCATAAACAGAACCTCGGGCCGACGTCCGGTGACCTCCGTCGTCCCTCCGTCATCTACCCAACATCTACCGCACCAGTGGACTGCGCGCCTCTTGTTGAACTCACTGCTGAATCCAGTACATTCTCTTTGCGGAAAAACAAGACCTCAAAATGTCGTGACATTTCATTTGAACTTCTAATAGTAAAAATGAGTTTGAGATAATTTCCGTATTCTTTGAGGCGAAGGAAAAGGACAGGAAAAACGGAATGAAAAAGGCGTCTCCCGCAGTCAGAACAAAGGAAACCACTTTTCATTCGGAGTAATTCTGTGTTCGGTACGTGAAAGGAGCGGTGAGCACTAATAGTACAAATTTTTCATTGCGTTTTCCGTATCCTGTTTTCGTGCCATACAAAGGGAACAAAAATTCACGACATTTTAGAATACCTTTTTCCGTCTGTAAAAGGAACCGGCCCCAGCAGTGAATAAACTTGCAAGCCATACGACATGTAGGCATTTCCCCAAAATAAGTATTCAATGCTGAAAATTAACTTTCTAGGCTTTGTCACAACATAATAATTGGTAGTTGTCATAACCGGTCGAGGGGAGGATGATATCCTATCATCATCAATCTGCGAAGTGTACAAGATACTCTGGTTCGCTCCGATAATGGGATATTGCAGCCCGCGACGTGATGTCTTCCACCTTTGCAAACGGTTCGACATGCTCTGGACACTTTCCGCAAAAAAAACACACAACAGTTCAGTTCAGTATTCTTGCTCATGTGAATTTTTCATCTCTTCTTTCCGGCGACTAAAATAATCAGGAACAAGACCGGACGTTCCTAACACCTGAATCTGCTACAATATCTCTCTACGGATTATTCTTCCCACCAAATTTCTTCTTATTGTTCACGAGGCCCATCACAGAGATGACATGACCGTCGGAAGCGGATGTTAGAAGCAGCGAGGAACTGATGGAATCTGTAGGCTTTCATCCTCTGCCGACATGCAGACTGTTGCTCATTGAGTTCACCAGTTCTTCTCCCGTCCTTTGCGCGAGGACTTCGAGGTAATAGTCCCTTGCTATTGCATCCATTCGACACCAGAAGCTGCTTTCCATCAAACCTGGTCAACGAAACTTTCACTTGGCTTCCATCTAACAGTCCACCCCAGGCCTCGCATCTCTGCCTCACTCTAATAGTCCACAACGGCTACCATACAGCCTGGCTTTCTTTCTGATAAGCGGGTGAGTAGCCTCCCTTGATAACTTTTCCCGGTGATCGTCATGATTTGACAGATCATACCGACAGCAACAATGTTCCTGGAAGAATCAAAGCCACGATTTGCTGACTCCGCCCGAACTTCTCTCGCTTCATCACTCGTCCTCCACCGTCGTAGGACTCACTGTAGAGTTCCGTGTTATACAGCGGATGTACCAATACACCGGACATATCTCCCTTTCGCACAGTGAAAAATGGCTCATCTCTATATAAACCACTTCAGGCTCTAGCATTCTACTCACAAGGACTTTCCACGTCTTTCTTAACTGACCATGCGCGCATTCCAAAGAGAGCTATTCTCCTCTGTACTGCTTGCGCTCCTCTTTGCCAACGTCTCGTACGCTGCACGGGCACGTAGAATTTTGCGAGCGCACTTGAGAGCATGCGTTTGCGTTCTCTCGCATGCGATTGTCACGCTTGCATTTGCGCGTGCGAGCGTGACAAAGACCTTCTTGAGATTTCTTGTATAAAAATAGTGCCAGAATCTAGTCAGTGCTGCTAGATGCAGAGAGATATAATACTTTTTGACAAAGACCAGAAAGTTGAAGGTTTTTTTGAGGTGATGCTCTCTCAAAGTTCAAAACCAAAACTCAAGAGCCGAAAAATCAAGCTATGAAGCGATTCTTTGACCTGGGATATCCGGTAAATCAGTAATTTATTTTAAAAGTTGTCGATAGAAGAGTCTAATCCCAAGAACATTGGCATAAGGCATGAACAGACTTGGAGGAAAGAAGTTAAAGAAGGTAAGTCAAATGTTGGCTGCTGGTCAGAGGGGGTCAAATTCAATAGCAGGTATATCATAGGAATATGAAATGAGCCCATATATGATGACTAGATGCCGATAGCTTAGAGATATCAGAAGTGACCAACAGTTAAGACGGTTCAACTCGAGTCGAACGCAAATGTTACACGATGTCACACATCCGTCACACTTGCGAGCCAATTGCGAGCCGCTGTTGCTCGCTTGCGTTTAATTTCCAACCGCATGTGTTATTGTTGGGATTTACAACTTCAAGCTTGTACTAGAAGATTCCCGAAGCTTCGGCTTACTCATTTGTCACGATACTTAGATATATTTAGTTACTTTGGTAGAATATTCTAGATACATTTCGTAGTATATAAGGAGCTCATTAGGAGCTCTAGTAGCTAACAATTAGGTATTATTCCTACTGCAAGCCTCCCACTGCAATAATTCCAACAGTTATTTTCAAGAACGCATGCGTGCATCTACATAAGGCTTGCGTTCGACTTTGGGATGCATGTGTTACATGTTTGTGAGATGCGTAAGCAGGTTTCTTCATCCCGCCAAGTTCAAAAAAGGGTAAGATTTCTTAGTCATTTCGAAATGAAATGTCGCTGTGATGGAGGGATCTCTTTTTGTGGCCAACAACTATACCTTTATAGCATTTTCATATTATTCAATGGTTTTCCTGAGTCATAGTAAGCGACATTGACCTGGTGGGACATATCCAGGAACTCGGAACAGTAAGTAAATGTTCAAGATAAGACAGAGTTTACTAGTGTCTTTAAGACAGCAATAAGTATTCATAGGCCACGCAAACAAACGTATCCATATGCGCGCAAATGCATGCAAGTTAAACGCAAGCGAACGCAATTCAACTTGAGTTGAACGCAAATGAACCGCAGTTGAACGCAACTCGCAAGTGTCGCTCGTAAAATTCTCCTGGCCCACGCTGCACCTTGGCCAACCTCCTCCAAACACTCCACTCACCAACGGAGGACCATCGGACGCGACATGACAATCGATACATACCATCCCGCATCGACCTTCAAGGTAATAAAACAATGATATTGTTCTTTTCATTGTCTTATATCTTTCTTTTCAGACTTATGGAGAAGGGAAAGCCATCTCGTCTTTCGCTAGTGGGAACCTGGAGACATCCGCCGTCTCCTTCATTGCATCTGAGCTCGGCGTCGACGCCTCTACTATCACCTTCAACTCTGGTCACTCTGCTGAGAACGATGTGAGCTACGCCTACGCGAAGCAATACCATGTACGCCTTCCATGCGATTACTATAACCATACCCCTTATGTCTAATACTCAGGACGGCATTCCCTTTGCCAATGCCGTCGCCAACGTTGCGTTCAAGAACGGCAACACTGTCTCATTCGGCTCGTCATTCGTCGACACATGTAAGTAACCTATTGCGGCGATCTCCAAATCACTGACAACTGCGTATAGCGAACATCACCTCCTCCCAGCCATCCATAGAACTAGACTCAATCATCAGCAAAGTCGAGGACGCTCTCGCCGGCACCTACAGTGGCATAAACTCCCTCGAATACCTCGTCCTCTCAGACGGATCCGTAGCCCTCACCCACGTAGTCCAAGTCCTCAACGCCGACGCCAACACCGGATACGAAGCATTCGTCGATGCCCACTCCGGCGACATCATCGCAGTCACCGACTTCTCTTCCCAGGCTGCGGTAATCCCTAACATAATCCTTATTTTCGCATGGCTAACTACGCTCTAGTACACCGTCGTACCAATAACCGAAGCATCCGTCGCAGAAGGCGAAGAAACTCTCATCAACCCTGAGAACCCCTCTTCTTCTCCTCAAGGCTGGGTACAAAACGGAGAAACCGCGTAAGGATCCTGTCCCTCTCCTCCCCCTCATGAGATACCTTCCTGACATTTCACAGGGGCAACAACGTCATCTCCTACAAGGGAGTACTACTCACCACAACTCAGCAATCCTCAGCCAACCTATTCAATTACCCCTACAACACAGCCATCGACCCTCTCCTAGGCGGAAACGTAGACGCCGCTCGCACCAACGCCTTCTACATCATCAACAGAGTCCACGACTTCCTCTACCAATACGGATTCACCGAGGCCACCTACAACTTCCAACAAGACAACTTCGGTAATGGAGGACAAGGCGGGGACCGTGTACAGATGTCCGTACAAGATGCCTCCGGGGTAGACAATGCAAACTTCTTGACTCTCCCCGAGTAAGCTCCCCGTCGAATTTTCACCGCGTCGTGACCTGATATAAATGTTTTCAGCGGTCAGCCTGGCACTTGCCGCATGTTTATTTGGGACCTTACGATTCCCAATCGCGATGGATCCCTAGAAAACGACATTCTCGTCCACGAAATGACCCATGGGCTTACTAATCGTCTGACTGGAGGTGGAACGGCTAGGTGTCTGCAGACGCTCGAATCTGCTGGATTAGGGGAAGGTGCAAATTTACCAGTTTCTTTTGATTTTGATTACTGATATGGTTCTCAGGATGGTCGGATGCGATGGCGGAGTATGACAGCCCCCTTCTCTTCTTCTCGCCGTTATCGGGAATCTAATCCACGACTACAGATGGACCGAACAAAAGAGCGGCACTGTTTCCGACTACGTTCTCGGAGTCTGGGTATCAAACAACCCTAATGGCGTCCGGCACTACCCTTATTCCACGGATCCCAACACGAACCCTCTCCGATATTCCTCCCTCGCCCGACTATTCGAAGTTCATTGTAAGTGTTCTCGTTCATCATTTTAAGGAACCCATTAACTGGTCCTCAGATATCGGCGAGGTATGGGCCAACATGCTACACAATGTATATGCCGCCCTGGTTCAAGCCCACGGATGGTCCTCGACAGCGATGGATGATGCTACTGGGAATGAGGGAAATATAGTTTACCTCCACCTCTTCGTCGACGCGTTATCTCTCCAGCCATGCAACCCTACCTGTAAGTGCACCAAGATCTCGTGTGTTCTAACGCTGAATCATTATTCGTAGTCGTGCAAGCCAGAGACGCATGGATCCAGGCTGATATGAACCGTTACAATGGAGCCAATGCTTGTCTCCTCTGGAATGCATTCGCGAGTCGTGGTTTGGGAGTATCTGCGGCAAACCACGTGGACGATACTACGGTTCCCGCGGGGTGCTAAACACGGGGAGCGATGTGATGAATTGTTACGATTTGAATTTTTGCGCAATCTGTCGTATATTTTAGCGATATTGTCAATGATAAATATCATTTCAGCATGATAGATAGTATTATTCTCCTGGTGGAAAAAAATGTCTGATCTAAAAGTGGAGCTTGAAGTGAAAAAAGTCGTCGTCCTCTCAGAGTGACTGATGGGAGTCGATATAAGTATATGACACGGTGAAACGCGGATAAGATAACATCGGCTTCTGGTGTATTAAATATCGGATGACATGTCGTTGCAAGGTCCTAGTGGGGATAATGAAGGAAGAAAGTAATGAAGACCTAAAGGCTGCAGAGTGAGCGTGAACTTTTGGGTTTGGTGCCCTCTCGTGATGCTAGTTACATCGTGTGATAGCTGATGCAAGATAAACTAGAGATTCTTGTTAAGAGCGAATGCTCAGGTCGTGGTCACTGGCAGAATGAGCCGATCTAGGTGTTCTACTAGGGATGAAGGTTCTTCACAGTGAACTGACACATATGCACAAGATCCAAAGCACTTATTGAAATACATCAGAAGACGGAATATCTTGATCACGCCTTTTCGCCATCAAGTAACCTTCCAAACAAACCAGTGCACAGAGGAATCCTAACTCCACTACGACTGAAATAGTACAGTACAGTATAGTAATCCACTCGGCTGAAGTATAATCTGTGAGGAACCGCATCAGCAAAATGTCGCTCTCCAGCCATTTTTTGTTTCTATTTCAAAGAGCTGCAAATAAGTCACATACAAATGCTATAGGTAAAATTTCCGGGACCAATATCACCCCGGGGTGGTATAAAATGAGGTACTGCCGATTCTCGCAAAACCATCATCCTATTTCCCTCTCCCTTTCCTTCACCCTCAATCTTTTTTCGTCATCTAGTCCTCCAATCTTGAGCCATTGTCGTGCGTTGACGCGTTTTCCACCTCACGCGTCGTGGTCTCGTGACGTGAACCTTGCTCGTTTAGGCAAGGTTTGTTGATCAAATCCCACGTTGGTTCTTGAGTCTTGACCACGATGTTGGCTGGCGTCTCGTCGTCGTCGAGTTCGATTCCTTTACTTTTTCTTATCCTTTGCTTCTATTGCCACAACCGTCAGCCTCGCCCTCGATCTGGACGATTGTGAGCTCGTTTGGACGCGTAAGGATTAGGGGAAGATCAATATGGTATGTGTTTCGTATCCGTACCCTTCCGAAGGTTAACTAAAAAGATTAATCTATTTCTAGGTCCATCTGGACGTGTTTTAATGGTAGGGTATACATGGGTAGAGGTGCGTGCGTTAGCTCTTGATTCCCCGCTTTTTCTGGTTTGTTTGTTCACCTTCCAGAGTCCACCACCTATACTCCAGACTCGCTTTCGACTGCTCAGCGCCAGTGCTCAGTAACCTAACGGCACGTTGCCTTTCCCCGATCTTTTGCCCCTCACTCACGCCGTCTTTTTAGATGGGGAACAAACGTGTCCGCAAGACATCCATAAGGCAGAACAACACACGATATGCTGACCAAGCTCAGCACCTGGCGTCGGCCGCGAAGATTTACTTTCGGCGATGGATTCCTTTTTGTGAGGTTGAGGAAGGGTCGGTGAGAGTATAGAGGACGCGTTGGATGACACTAGTGCGTACTCTTCCTTCTCGCATCTTTTTTTTTAATCGCTGAGTCAACCGACTAGTAGCATCGATAGGTTTACTCGACAGATGATGAGCTCGTTGAAGTACCACCGTGGTACGCATCTTTACCCTCTACATTTCTTGCATGGCTGACTCGTGCATGGCCAGGTTTCTGTTAAGCATGCCGTAGCATTTCTGGGTTGCTATAGTAAGGTCTCCTCAATTGCATGTTGATTTAATGCTCAGTGACCTTAAGAATAACAATAAGACTATGTATACGGTCAAATGAATGTACCGAGTAGGTGTTTGCTCAATGTTTTTACTTATATTCTGACTAATTGATGGTCTTTCGGGTAGTGAAAAATAAAGGCAGTATTCATTATTACCGCGAGAGTGAGCATGAGGTAGAATACTTAAGAGCAACGGACGCAACGCTGCAATGCACGCAGCGTATGGAAAGGTACGTCACCTTGATAGTAACACTTTGCAATGTACCACAGGCGGGGAGGAGCGGTGGAGGACGCGTTAGGAGCCGGTGCGTGCCAGAGGAGTCGGCGCGGAGATGGATTAGTCTATGGGCGACGGCGTGTGCTGAGGGAGGGTCGTATCTATTATTAGCACAGATGGATGGGATGGGGAGGCGTTGACAGGCGGCTGCGTGGAGAGGCCGGGTGCGAGTGGACGGAGATGGTCTGCGGACATCGGATGCGAGGTTGAGCAGTCGCCCGGTGGGAGACAACATGTCTGCCAATTAGTACAGACGTTGGAATGCATGCAATGGGGTTCCAGCTTGAAATAACGCCAGAAGGGTTCATCAAAACGATCGCAGGTGGTCGTGATCGCGCGACGTGACATGGGAAAATATGTCATGAACTTCGACTCCAACCCGACTCCAACCTCGTGTCGATTTTTGAATATCGGGATCGCACATTCCATGACCTATCGAGAGCTATCTTTTCCATCATGGACTTCTTTTACTTGCCCACGGTAAGGCTCATCTATTCTGGCTGATCCCTCCTCATCCATGTCTCTGATAAGAACATTCCGTGTAGGTACAATCGAATGACTCGTGGAAGCAAAGCCAATACGACTGGCACACGAATAGTGCTATCTAGTACGAACTCGCTTGTCAAATGCATGTTGAAAACCGGGTAATAATTACGCTCACAGCTCATTATTGTTACGTCACCTAACAGTTTGAACAGTCAAAGATCGCTACACCCCTGGATCTTGTTGAGAAGGCGAAGGAAAGAAACCTAGCATTTTATTTAACACTGAACAGTGGATACAGATAACTGCCTCTCGATCCTGACCCGACAACACAAGATTTAATAATCCACAACAGACGCCACTCGCCCTTTTCAATCTTGCGCACATTCAGAGCCTATCAGCAACGCCACCTACCACAGACATCTGACCCGTCATATCTCCCGTTCAACAGATGTCGATAACACCCCGTGAACGCAGGAATATTAATCAGCCGTGGCGTTCGTGGATTCCTTGTGACCTGATATCAATGGGTACTTTAGGCGACTCGTCCTTCGGTGATGTCGATATTACCGGTCATCAGTTCTTCTCTTACCTGACGTACTGATTTTATCCATCAGAAACGGCAACAAGCATTGATTTTACCTTCCATCGAGGTCTCATGACGCAACAATCTCCATAGCCATCCAATAGCATGAGCTGCAATCCGTCTTCTAAACCGAACACGTAAAGGATGAGCGAAGAATAAAAGCCCTGAGCCCAATACTTACGGCTATTTCCCCAATGCTAAGCTACATCGACGCCGCAGTACCTCTCTTCCTTTCTTATGCCCTTTACCTAGCAATCTACCGTCTACTCTTCCACCCTCTCAAGTCATTTCCAGGTCCGCGACTAGCAGCTCTTACGGGCTGGTACCAGACATATTACGAGGTTTTCTGCGACGGTCAATTTGTCCAGAAACTCGAAGAACTACACAAATCATATGGTACATCTGCTCGACCCTCCAATAGCCTAAATTTACTGACCCAACTCAGGACCCGTCATCCGCATAAATCCTCATGAAGTGAGCTTCTCGCATGCATCACCACACCCTTTTGTCTTAACCATATCTCTTAAGCTCCACTTCAGCAACCCACAAGCATACTTCTCCATCTACTCCTCTCAAGTAAAATTCATCAAAGACCCCAATTTCTACTTTTGCTTCGCTCAAGACGAGTCCTCATTCGGGTTTACTGACCATGCCGTAGCAAAAAAACGACGAGACCTGCTCCTGCCTTTCTTTTCTCGTCGATCGATCCTCCAAATGGAGGGCATCATCCAATCAAAGGTATGCCGTCACCGCCCTCCGATTCCCCCATACGAGCTAACTCACAATCCCTGCAGGTCGACACCCTCCTTCTCCGCCTTCACGAGGATTACAAAGACAAACCTGTGAACCTCTACGCTGCCTTCAAATCCCTGACCATGGACATCATCACCGCCTTCTCCTACTCTCATTCGTTCGACGCTCTGCTCTCCCCAGACTTCTCTCACCCCATCCTTCTCAGCCTCGAACGTGCCATGCCTATGATGACCACCGTACGCCACTTTCCCATCCTCCAACTACTCTACCGTCTTCCCGAGTACCTCACTCGCTATCTTAACCCTGATACCGTCGGTTTCGTTCACCTTCGGAATGCGCTGTCTACACAGATCGATGGGATATTAGAAAATCCTTCATCTCTTGACGGAATGCATGAGACCATTTATCACAGCCTCCTTTCACCCGAGAAATTCAAGTCTGGCGAGATACCATCGAAGAAGTCCTTATCAGATGAGGCACGTCGGATCATTGTGAAATTCTCTACTCGCATTCACGAATAGTTATTATAGGCTCAGAACCTACTCTTCGGCGGAACGGACACAACAGGAAACGCAATGACAATCGGCTTCTTCCACATCATGCAAAACCCAGGGATCCACTCCAAATTGATGACAGAATTACTCGACGCTTGGCCTAACCTCGAGTCGCCCACATCATATGAAGTTTTAGAGAAATTGCCCTACCTGGTTAGTTAATTTCCCACATCGCAACCCCCATACGAGATCGACTCACACCACCCAAATAGACAGCAGTCATCAAAGAATCCCTACGCATCAGCAACGGCGTCCCAGTCGCAAAGCCACGCGTCGTCGATACTCCCACCATAATCGACGGTGTCCTCGTTCCAGCCGGAGTGAGCTTCCCTCAACCCCAAGTCCCTACTTATATCTAATAATTTCCCAACAGACCTCCGTTGGCATCGGCAGCACGTTCGTTCTCATGAACGAGGAAATCTTTCCCGACCCGCATTACTTCAACCCAGAACGGTGGCTCCAGCCTGGAGCGTCCCTCGACAAATACCTGATATCGTTCTCAAAGGGTCCTCGGGCTTGTCTTGGTGTCAAGTGAGTTGCCCCTCCATAGTACTTGATTTGTCTAACAGGAACCCAAGTTTGGCGTGGTGCGAGCTGTACATCCTCTTTGCGAATCTACTCCGGAAATTTAATCTGAAGAATCACGAGACGAAGTGTGTAACGCGCCTATTCCTTGCTATTCGTCATTCCTAACTGTTTGTTGCTTTCAAGCCACGTCAACTTTCGATATCACTTCTTACCGGCATTCCGTGATAAACATTTACATGCTATCGTCACCGAGCGGGAATGACTGTTGAGGGTTTCTTATTAGTGCTACCACTGACTATCGACTCGAATGCAGAGCCTGTTATTCCGTGATGAGCAGCCGATAAGACTATATGACTATTTATCACGGGGCACAATAGATGATGGTTAAGCCTTTCAGTATGTGCTGATGGACTGATCGTCGCCATCACAAATATATCATATTTTTCTTGAGCTGCTTTACAAGGTCCTGAATTCTCGTCGTTCTGAAGTTGGCGTATTCGTTCAAGTTTATTTTACTTCCCTTATGCATATACTGTTTAGCAGAAGAGCATTAAGTGTAACGGTGTAAGCCAACTTCCTCTTGTATCTCTCAGTGATACATTGTCGCTGTAACCTAAATGGTGCTGAACATGTCCTATGAACGCGATAATACAACAATGTCATGGAATTGTATAAGTGTAATATCTACATGTATTGCAACCTTCAGTCGTAGCTATGTACCAGGTCGTTGTTAATCTTTACGCTTAGCACCCAGCCGGAACGGTAGCATCGTCCACATAGTTCGCCGCAAACATTCCCAAACCACGGCTCGCGAACGCGTTCCAGAGAATGCACGCATTGGCTCCATTGTACCGATTCACATCAGCTTGGATCCACGCAGCTCGGGCTTGCACGACTACAAGCATTTAGTCAGTTAATATTAGAACATGTGAGATCATGCGCTTACAGGTAGGGTTGCAAGGCTGGAGTTGTAATGCATCGATGAAGAGGTGGAGGTAAACTATATTTCCCTCATTCCCAGTAGCATCATCCATGGCTGTTGCGGACCATCCGTGGGCTTGGACCAGGGCAGCATATACATTGTGCAGCATGTTAGCCCACACCTCGCCGATATCTGAGGACCAGTGAATGATTGTCTAATACCGTAATTATCACACTTACCGTGAACCTCATTTAGCCGAGTAAGGGAAGAATATCGGAGCGGGTTCACGTTGGGATCCGTGGAGTATGGGAAGTTGCGCCCACCGCCAGGTCTGTTTATTACCCACACCGCAAAAACAAAGTCTCTGGTATTGGCGCTCGTTTGTTCAGTCCAACTGTGGGAGATATGTTAGACTTCTGGTAACAGTGAGAAGAGAAGAGTTGACATACTCTGCCATGGCATCCGACCATCCTGAAAACCAGGTAAGGAACCAACGGTATTAAAGAGATTCGTAAATACACACCTTCACCTAACCCCCCAGATTCGAGTGTCTGCAAGCACCTAGCCGTGCCACCCCCAGTCAAGCGATTAGAAATCCCATGAGTAACCTCATGGACGATTAGATCGTTCTGCAAGTCTCCATCACGGTTGGGAATAGTAAGGTCCCAAATATACATGCGGCAAGTGCCTGGCTGACCACTAAAAACCTTGATATCAGCTTATGACATTCCGCGAGTTCTATGAACAGCCTTACTCAGGAAGGGTAACAAAATTCGCATTGTCCAGCCCACCAGCGTCTTGTACAGACATCTGCACACGATCTCCACTCAGTCCCCCGTTACCGAAATTGTTCTGCTGGAAATTGAAAGCAGCCTCGGTGAACCCGTACCTGTACGCAAAGTCGTGGACTTTGTTGACGATGTAGAAGGCGTTGGTACGAGCAGCGTCAACGTTTCCACCGATGAGCGGCCCTACAGCTGTATTATATGGGTAATCGAATGTGTTTGCCGACGACTGCCTAGTTGTGGTAAGCAACAGTCCCTTGAAGGCAATGACGTTGTTTCCCCTGTGAAATATTGAAGAGCTATCCTATGAGAGAGTATAGTATGCTTACGCGGTTTCTCCATTTTGCACCCAACCTTGAGGAGAAGAGTCTAGGTCTTCCGGGTCGACGAGAGCTTCCTCGCCGTCCACTACAGATGCTCTGGTTATAGGTACAACAGTGTACTATCGCTGATTCAGAAAGGCGTCAGGGTGAGGAGAAATTCAAGATTACCGTAGCCTGGGCAGAAAAATCGGTGACTCCAATTATATCTCCTGAATGAGCGTCGACAAATGCTTCATAGGCTGTGTTGGCGTCGGCGTTCAGGACCTGGACTACATGGGTGAGGGCCACCGATCCGTCTTGGAGGGCTAGATATTCGAGGGAGTTGATCCCGCTGTATGTACCGGCGAGCGCGTCCTCG